ACGGTAGCAGAACTGCAGATTTTGATAAAATTTTAAACAATGCTAAGGTTCTGCAGAAGAACATGAAATTTTTCAGCCAAGCCCTGCTCCTGCCTGGTCCAGAAGGGCCATAAAGAAGACTTGGAAAGGCTTTTAGACTTGGAAAGCTCCTGGATGCCCAGCCCAAACTTGCATCACCCCTAAAAGAAGTCTTCCTCATCTATTAAAAAACTTCCAGTATCCCTGGGTAGGCTGCTGCAGGGTTTCCTCACTTCAACATCTATTGATCCCCAATTATGGAGATTAAATCCAATATTGCTTAAAAAGTCCATTACCTTCCCTGCGGAGGAAGAGCAATCTCTTTGTGACCTTTTGTGTATCAGATCACCACTGCCATGTCCTCTTCCCCTACTTTTCACCCCGACAAAACAAAAGCCAACCTTTGTAGCAGGACACGTTTTTCCGACCATGTTTTATTGTTCTTGTTTTCCTCCGGATTCTCTCCAGGCTGTACCTTCCCTAACGTGCAGTGCCCAAAATTGTATGCAGTAGCTTAATCAAGGCCTCTCCAGTGGCAAATGGAGCAGAATTTCCTCCTTTGATGGAAAACGTGCCCAGAATGGAAGATGCCCCCGTTTTATGTGCCGCAGCATCACACCGTAGGCATCCGCTCTGTTTGAGCTAGGGTCAGACCAGGGGGAACTATAAGCAGGGTTGCAGACTTGACGGAGCAACTTGTTCGTATACCTGCTAGTGTTGGAAGTGGGGAACGTTACCAGGGGAAAGGATCTTCATCCGCCAGATGCAGCAGCATCGGCCTGGACGTGCAGCCTGCAGCGTGTCTGTTAGGAGCACCGGTGGCAGGGTGTGAGGGCGGGGAAACAAAACGTGGGAAAATTGGGCACGGCCAGGGGGTGCTGGGCAGTGGGGGGGGGGATTTAATAAGTTAAGGGAGCATTTAAGTTTAGGCGGCATTTAATAAGTGAAGATGCTGCCCAGAAAGTGGAAACGGCCGGTGGACATAGATCCACTGTTTTACTTCTTGGAGGTAATACAGATCGTAAGGGAAGGGAGTATTTTGGAGGGTGCTCTCTTGTCGTGAAAAAAAAATAAACGAGATGCCTCAGAGAGGCTGGTTTGAAGATGCACGGGTGCAGAAGGAAGATGCACGGGTGCAGAAGCACGAAGACGACGGGAAGCCCTTCTCCAGCTACCGGAGCGTGAAGTCCCGCGCCG